TAATATCTTATGTCGCACAAACTCGAAGATCTACAGGTGCAAACTAACAAGGTGGCAGAAGAGACAAGGCGGGGCAGCGAAGACGGGACTTCCTTCAGGTGGACGTAGAGAAGCCAGAGGTGATGAAGATACCCAACCACCACCAGCAACAACAGCAACAAGAAGCACCAATTACCATCATTGGGGGGAATCTGAAGGAAGTTGTCTCTTTCACCTACTTACCTAGTGGCCATCGTTTCGTGTACAGGTGGGCCAGATGAGGATGTCAAAGCCAGTCAGGATGGGAAAGATGGCAAGACAGATTTCCCTTCACTAATCTGAATTCAGTATGTGTGATCTAAATCTATAATCACCTCATATCTTCTACTTAAAACAGCCATGTCCCACAAGGGAGCTCAGTTCTGTATATAAATACTGTATTTAGTAGTCGAATGTCTTACCAGTCGGCGCCAGAGATGACGCAAGTCAACAAATGCTAGATGGGCTTTCTGTACCCGAGCCTAATCATTTTGTTGAACGGCCATCACCTAGGTAACATAAAACCCACCTTGACATTCACGAATCTACGATACACTTGACTTGAGAAGCTGTGTGAAATATGAAACGTAGTTGATTGATCCAACTGGTTTTTTATGTCATTTTTGAACTGAATATTGTACAATATGTGTAGTGTATAAACATTAAAACAGATCAGTCGATATTTAGTAATCTTTTTTTCACAAAGATAAATATAAACAATTATTCTGAGTCAGATTAAGAAGGAATCAGCTGATCTATTATGTATAAAAGTTGAACTGTTGTTTTAGTAGACTTTATAACATGAATAGCTTTAAGAAAACAAGTACAGTAGCAGGATAATACAAGCTTATTTTGATGTTATTTGGTTGGTGATGCCTAGAAGGGGTGCCAAGGAATCACGTTTTACCTACTTAGGCTTCGTCAATTGGATGTACCTGAAACCTAGTGAGTGATACTGTTAAGCCCCCTTTGAGACTCAAAATCTTTAATCGCTAGAAGCACCAGAGCGACATACAGTAGGCTACCGAGACATGACAGTTACCTCTTGTGAAGCAGCTGTAATTTGTTATTCTTTATTGATTTCAAGTTGGTATTTATCATGGATTAGCACCAGTCGCCGAAGCTTTGAAAATTTGAGAGCACTGCAAAGCTGTTTCTTACTAGTGTGGGGCTCCTTGGGCAGTACGTATCCATGACACAACCATCCAGTAGTCGGAATCAAGACCCTCAGGTTTCGCCACAAACGTGTTAACCATTCACTACTTTGTTGGAGTCCAGTAGTCAACAGTTTCTTATTTGTGAGAGAAACCTCCATCCAGTGCCATCAATGAGTAATTGTACTCACGACCGATTCGGTTGACCCCACCAGTCACGACTTCTCATCAGAACTTCGGGAATCTCCCCTTGTAACATGCCACTAATTAGGACTGGGCAGTAATTAATTCAATTTGGAGGTTAGTAGGGATTTACTTATTGATCTCAAGTTCGTGGACAGCCACTCAGCAGCCTAGTGGATAACACCCTGGTGTTTGAAACGGTAAGTGCTAGATTCCAGTGGGATGGGGGTACTTCCAGCTGACGAATCCAGAATAGGACGCGACTCTTTCCGATATAACAATCAGTGAGGAATTAAAAGCGTCACTGAATAACAAGCTCATTTCCATCATTACGGGGACCCCTCACAACCCACTGAAACCCATATAATCTCAATATATACACAACACAATAACTGAAAATACTTCCAACAATATTAGTGGTGGATATTGATTGGCAGCGGATTTCAGGGTGTGCGTTTCATTCCACTCAAGACTTGTCAGCTGGATGTACCTGCCTCTCAGTCAAAGAGGTTGTTCCAACCAAGACTCCATCAATGATGTATGAATCAAACACAGGGGATATCGAGGCACCCACACAGGACCATATATGCCAATACAGACCGATCATCCAGTCCTCTCAACGATGGGATAGTACCAGCAAAAACATTATAATTGTAACACGTTTACAAGAACTTATTAACACAATCGATCAAAAACACAGATGGTGTAAAGTACAGCAGATCGTTAGGAGAATGAATGCCAGCGGGAGATTGATTATCTCTAGGCGAATATTCTTTATAAAGAAGGTTCAGAAATGGCTAGAAAAACAATTAGTACAGGTTGCACACTACATTAAAAAAGTGAAGCTACACAATCACGGAGAGCAAGATGAACAAAGTTTAGGTGAAAAGTTAAAGTTAGAAACAGAACAAACTGTTTTGCAAACATTTTAGGTCAGAACCAAGTTTTTAATTGTATGTTTTTGAATACGTCGATCTCTTTTAAGTCTTTTGGCGATGACTGCTTCGATAAAACGTGATTGTTGTGAAATCCTCGACCAGAACGATGATAGGCTGTCCACACCATCTTTTGTATCAACTGGGTGATGCACAACTGTGTTGTTTAGTGCATGTGAAAATTTTTGACACTTTCAATTTATGACAACCCTCATTGTGAATGCATTAAATGAATCCTTAAAACGACTTGCGTGGAGTTGGGTCAAATTAATCTATGCAGTTAAGTGTCATCCAGTAGGTGGTACGTTCAAAGCCCACACCATCTACTATGACTTGATGAGTCACTTAGTAAATTTGACAATCAGCCAAGTCTTGCTAATTGCCTACGACATGAACTTGGAGGTAATTGGTGACTTGCAGAGAATAGTTTGACTGTGCACTTAGCAAACTGATTATAATGCAACTAAAAAGAAACTTATGCTGTAGGTTGTGAATTACAAAGCTACCTTGCCGTTTGATACATCTGTGAGATAGAGATAGAATCGAACCTGTGGTGATTTTCAATGGTGTTCTATCCAAGACTAATGACTAAGTCTGTCGAACAAGTAAATACTTCAAGTTTACGAAAAATGTTATCAAAGTGTGAACAAGGATGACGTAAACAGATGACACCTTGCTTAGTTTTGAATTCTTATTTATTCATACTTGTTACTTCTTATAGGTTCACTGGGCTTCTATGAACTTGACAGGATTCGAGCCACAATGGGAACACTACCACATTCTACTGCATGTCGCCACCAAGCTAATTTATTTAATTATCAAAACAGTTGACTATTGGGTGAATGTTGAGCTGAAATGATTAGGGAAACTTGTTGCTCAGGATGACGATAACGATGTTTCGGTGGTTTCTGAAGTTTGATATGTTGTCGTGAATATGTCATCATCTAGCTTATTAGCACTAGTTTGTAGCGCTTTTAAATGTTACAAGGATTTTTGGTGAGTATTTTACCTTATCTTAAATATTTTTCAGTAGTAAGTTGAGGAGAAAGTCTTTTATCACATTTTGCCTATTTGAATCTAATTTTCACTGGATGAAATCCGGAAAGAATTCCTCTTCACTACTGTCCCAGTGTGTTTGATTACTGATCCGCCACATCAACTTTCACATGAATGACAACTATTCATCAGGCTCGACGATAAAACAATAAAGCACAAATAACAGTGAATATGATTCTAAACCACGTACATGTTCATTATCTTTTTCTTCTGTTATCTCAGTAATTTCGGCTGATCAACCTTTTCCCAGTACTAAGCAAATAAGGAGTAGAAACGAAACTGGTGACTTTAAGCCTACTGACGTAGACACATATTACAAAGGAATGGAGAATATCTTTGAAGATCCTTTTTTTGCATAGTCATGATATCACGGTTATGGAAATCTAACATGTTTCGCTTGCTACCTATTGTTTTCCTCAACAGTCTCTACCGATCTTTTTGTAAACCTTTCCACCTAACTTAGTTCACGGAATCTTCATTTTTTCCCCTATTGTATTTTGCACACGTATCCAACTACATTCATCGAAACGTTACATTCTCTCTTTTTCAAATCTATTATATTGTCTGAGCTACTAACAAAATGAGGACTTGTATTACTGTGTAATTACACAGGTTGCCTCAATTTACATCACTACCTCATGGTACGAAGGAGCAAGAGGAAAGATAAAAATTGCAGAAATCTGTAATTAAAAGTTACAGAAAGTTTTCAGAAGAAAGGAAAATGAGGCATAATGACAACGAGACACTATATGACAATACTATATGGACGCATTTGAATCATTGACATCAGTGCTTGACCATGTCCTCTAAAGTCTCCAACTTCGCAATTTTGATCGATTACTATCAAGACCACAATCGCGAAATCTGCGGTTCCCTTCACAGCTCAGACCAATAGTTGGAGACTTCAAGGACGTATACCATGTTGTAGTCTAGTCGCCTTGAACCACATCTTTATTAAATGCGTAATTCTCAAGCTTTGAGTTTTGTCTGCATGTTAATATTCATTTTAAACTGAAACCAAATGGAGAATCATGGAAAATTTGAGAGCATTGGACAGCTGTTTTGTCTTAGTATAGGACGTACTGCTGATGGATCACTTACTAGGACGAAACAACTGTCCAATGGTTCTCCAGTTGATGTCAGTCCTTGATAAATATCAGCTCGAAATCAATAAATAAACCTCTAGATCAAAGTTTCCTTCTTGAACGTTTCATCATTTGGTTAGATGACGTCATAAACGTTTACTTGATCATGACTTCTTCGTGAAGTAAGTACAGATGAAAAGTACACGAAGAAACGTTAAGGCTTAAGAAATATCGATTAATTATCATTCACATTCCGAGCTATAAATCTTTTCTAATATATCATGCGCTAAAATATGTTGGGTCTTATGTGTCAGTCAGGGATAAGCCCTGCTTGACGTATGCCTTGTACTTGTCAGCACTCATCAGCAAAGCTTTTCACTAACGGTGGAGAGATCAGTTCTCACCCTGTGATTCTAACCTGCGTCGCCCTCTGAGGATCAATTCCTGTACACTGAAGTCTTTAGCACTAGCGACTTGATGATATGCAAACATGCTGTATAAAAATAGTAAGCAACTACAAAGTGGACAATGTTTAAAGCTTTGACAGACAAAACATATTCAAAACTTACACTGGACAGTTGGTTTTCAATGCAAGATATTGTGATTTAAAAAACCGATGTGTTAGATAGGCGTATAATCTTCGTATTTCAGATAAGCAAGCATTTGTTTTTTGTGATTTCAACACTGGGGAATCTTCGGGGATATGACTGCTAGTGATGTCATTATCTACATAGAATTTGACATCATCATTGTCCTCACTAGCAGTAGTAGTACTATAACTTCTACTACCACTATCCTGAGGGTAATATTGATCATCAGGTTTTTCAATATCAAAGATAATCGACGGTTCAATGTTATTATGTACAAGTGCATACTGAATAGGATTTGTTGAAGGTGTCGAAATGTCCGGCAATGTACAATTCCCATGTTTAGTGTATTCAACATAACCACTAACATCGCCTTCAGTTATTTTAGTGTATTTAACAGTGCCATTGAAGTGTATTTTCGATTTCTCATTTGTTCCTTTTTCGACTACTTTTATATCATTAGTAGTAGTTGTACTAACATCCACATCATATTCCCTAAGTGTATTGAAACGGCTGTTGGAATTACCCATTTTATGCTATATTTTATCTTTAAAGATGGTGAATATTGTTCATTTATTCACATCCTTCTACACTTGACGAAAATCTTTGAATTTTAACAATTACTGTACATTTCCAAGTAGACCAGATGAAGCAAACATCCCATCAATATATTTATTTATTTGCATATCGCATAGAATTATAAATGGCTAAGTCAGACATGAATAAACCAATTGTATTTTAGTCTGATATAAAATCAATAAGCAAATGAAAATTTAACCAATCACAATCGAGATTACACCTGATTCCATTGTGATGGTATTTCATTGGTATTTCGTTGTTTGTAAATCGAAAGAATGCAATAACAGAAAAAAACACCGAAAATTATTTGTCGCAGACATTATTGTTGGAAAAGATGTGTAGACATATTATCATTGCAGCGACAAAGAGTTCAGTGGTCAATTCTCTGAATATAACGCTAGGTGACGAGGCTTACAATAGCTTGAGAGGTGTAATTACCCTGCAGATACACCTTACTGATGAGTGTCAAAAAGTACCAAACCTAGACTTACGGCTTCTTGCTGATTCTCCGCAACGACAGACAATCAGTCTCCTAGCATATTATCTGCATTGGAAACTAAAAATGCTTACTCTCTGCAGTTATCAATTATTGCTTATAATCCTTTCCTATAAGGGGTCAATTCTGGTCTGTAATTATCAGTGGTATCGCGTTTTACGTTAGGAAGTGAGCGATTCAAATCTCTAAGTTGAGATCAGTTCCCTCAAAGTTGCAGATACCTCTTGCTGATAAGTACCAACAAGCATGAAACCGTTGGTGAAGTAGAGGATCCTAACAACGCCCTCCAGCTGCCTAACAGCAGAAATGAATATGAAGCCCACTGTTAGGCTAGTCGTTGTGTGTAAATGAAGATGACCATTTTCGTATAAGTTGAAGTGAATGTTAATGAGATGTTTATACAACCTAGAACGAAATTCATCTGAGACTGAAATGTGCTTCTATATAACTTAAAAATGACCTCCGTAAAACTTAGATGTGTTTGTATAATGTACGTGTAACCTACTATTCATTATCAGCTATCCGGTTACTTCGAAGCTCAGCATCAAGGTTAGCCCTTGAGACTACTTGTTGTCGATCTTCAGTTCATCATTCATTGTTGATATATCAGTGTTTTGTTCGCAGGACTCGATATTGGCTTTTCATGAAATTTTGATTCACTTCTGGTAGTGGTTGGGTTAGTATGTTGCCAAATAATCGCGGTGCTTTTCAGCCTGTTTGCGAGCAGTCAGCTGAATATGCCAACATCTAAATGAATAGTTGTGTTCCCACTGGCATTAAAATGCATTGCCGGTCGATAAAAATGCTACAGTGCTGTGTGTAATTATGGAATTCTACTGTTCTCCAGAGACTTTCGAGTGGCCTTAAAGTGGCCAATCACGTAGAAGTTAACTGCGGGGTCATTTTGAGAAGCTTTGAATTACTGAAAGATGTCGTTGACTGAATAGAGTGGAATTATTTTTCCTACTGTGATCCTGCACTATTTTTTTGATTCCGAGGGATTCTGGATATACCTGCATTCCCCATGAATATTAAGATTTCTAACAAGATGTTAACATTGGAGAACGCTTTAGTATTAGATTGCAGAGCATGTATGTCATAAAAACGTTCAGTTATACTTCCTAGATGCAACCATTCAGTTACAAGTATTATCATAGCACCCGTTAATTCATGAAGTTTCTGTTTTTTCGTTGTTTTGAGACTGAAGTTTCAGATTTTTTACTTTGACATCTATAAGTTTTTACGAAATAATCAACTATATGAATCTAATGTCTTTTTAATTTTTGAAACTTCCATTCTTAAACCCTAACAGGGCTCATACAAATAATTTAGAGGTGATAAGGGCCACCTGAAGTCAGTCTGAACGGTGGCAGACACCTGATTGGCCAGGTAGTTTATGATCTTAATATTCATCCTTAACCTTGATCAGAGGTAATGCCTTCTGCATTTGATTGGTCCATTATTAACCAATATCCATATTTAACTTGACAATTATTGGTCCATTAAAATGGATGTGTAAGCAGTTACATTTTCAGCTAGTTTTTGAATCTTTCTGAAGCAGTAAATTCTGCCTGCTGTTTCTTTCATTAGAGTGGGGGACAGTATTTTCATGTAGTAACGTGAATGAGTGTCTTTGTCATATGTATTTTTACTTTAAACACTCAGAAACAGTCGTAAGCATAGACAAACTTCTAAGCATCATTAGAAATCATATCTGTGTTGAAAACCAGAAAAAAGACCATTTCTTGATTTAGCTGTTCAAGGACATCTAAAAATCTCTCAAGGACGACAGGGTTCTATGTTTCCACGAAGCTACTTTTTACTATAACCCAGGAAACTCTTAGAAAATATGAATCTCATTACGGCTGTTTGTAGACAGGAAACGTTGTATTGCAGGACAGTTTGTTGCTTTAATGTGTAAACAGCTAACTAACATGAATAAATGTCACAAAACAGGTATGTTACATCATGGAGTACATGAATTTTTACACTTGTGTCTTTTTAAAAATCTTTGACGTAACGTTTATTTCATTGCATCTTGAAAGATTTTAGATCACTGTTTAAATATTCAAGGCTTCATATCCAAACATTTCTTAGAATTCTTACACGAAATAGCTACTAGGTAAGTAATACGACAAGATCTATTATTGTTATCTGTGCAAACATTCAACATCTATAGAGCAGAATCCCTCATCAATAATTGTTAGTAAAGACTGTAGCTCAAACCTCAACAGTAGGATAAATTTACTCGTTAAGTACCAAACTATCGGCGCAGCACAGTATCACCTCAGCTAAATAGATTTTCTACTTGGTTTAACTGCCAACCATTATTTTTTTCAATCGGTTTTTATAGCTATCTACCTAGTCAACATAAAACACCGCAACTCATCAGTAAGGCATCTCAACCACAAACTCAAACACAGAAAAAAGCATTTGTAAGTAATAAGTGAGTCAACCATTTCAAGATGCTTGCCATTATGTAACAACTCAGCAATGGGCATCCATGGTCCTGGCCTGCAGGGATCGAACCCAGGACCGCCGGGTTCCACGGCCAGGACGTTGTCGTTGAACCACTGGAGTTGAAACCCGATGGCCCACATTTTTCTACTTCTATTCACGTGAGTATTCGACCTTTGGATCCTGACTCACTGTGTCATTTGTGACATGGAAGCTGAACATTGAACCTGAAGCTCCTGTGTTCAACCCTTGGCGGAGTTGTAGGTACATAGTGGCTTGTGTGTTTACAAGAAGGAGATGACCAACCTTTTTTGACTATTATTTGATAAGGTCATCCTTTAAAAAAGTGTGGATGTTTACTCTTCCACTCTTCCTTACTTAGTTCCATCATCTTTTGTTGAATCAAATTTGTTCATAAAGACTGTTTTCAATGAACATAGGTAAACTCATAATATTTTTTCATGTTTTGTTGGATATGTATACAGATGAAGAATGTGATGCTAAACAAAAAGATGCCAAACTAGGAAAGCAGAATTCGGATTCAGTTTACTGAAGGTCAAGGGAGGGATAACATTTGAAAGTGATCGTTCTAGATTCAAAGTCCGAGTTTGATCAAACTAATTACGACAACTCCAGCTATGCTGAGCACGTGTTGGTGATCTACACATAATATTGTTTTGGAACACAATGTATGGCATTGGAAACTTTATTGGCATCTATGTAATGCCATGTGTTTACTAGACGCGCTAAAATGGAACTTTTCGCCACTTTCTATTTTACAAAGCAAGCCATTATATGCTCTTGAATCTAGTGGCACACTTGCCCAATGTTACACCCTGTGTAACTTATTCCATAGGAACAGTTCATTTGATATATACAGGATGAAGAGGTAAGCTTGAGTAGGCTATCCCCTATGTTTTCGGATTAAGCATTGGTCTACTACTGATAGATATCCAGGAACGACTTGTATAAAACTTTATAGCTGGGCATTGTGAAATGATATCACTTGGAGCGTCTCCCATGAATTATAATCGCAGAAAACACTATGTACATGATTGTGACGATTTGCTGTCATTTAATAACATTCCTCGGATTTTAAGTTACTATTCATCATGGACTGACATCATTTAGAGGTATATTTGGAATCTGGAAGCCCTGGACACTAGCTGACTCCTCCTAGTGTGGGACTCCTTAGCAGTGCGCACGCACGATACCACCAGGGATCAAATCCAGGACTTTCAGGATCCATGGCCAACACAATATCATTGAGCCTCTGGGTCGGAATCCAATGGTCCATGTTTCCAACTTCTGTCAGATCACAACACAGAGCGACCACCACCCAACATCATCATTCAGTATTTCTTCTTACGTCCACCAGGGTTGTCCCACTAGTCACGACTTCATATTGGAACATCAGGAATCACCTCTCGAAGTTAGTCATCAGTGAGGTTTACAATAATGCAATTTGGGGATTTGTGGAGACCTATTGATTGTTTTCAAGTTGGTATTCATCATGGGCCAATATCAGTTGGAAATATGGACCATTAAGTTGTGACCTAGTGGCTCAAAGGTAACGTGCATGTGTTAAATTTTTGTCTGATACTTGGAGTTTCTGATTGCTTTACAGGGTTAAATTCCCTTCTACCAACAAAGGTCGAACAATTTGATCCAGCAAAACAACGGAGATTTAGACCACATCAAGAAAAAGTTATAACTAATACCCATTTTACAAGACGTAGGTACCGTACCTCAGTGGTTTACGCTGTGGTGTCTAAAGCAATGGGTATGAGGCTCCGAGTTTTCATTATTGTTTACTTTCGCTTTCATCGAGAGAAGACACATCGGTCAATTGGCTTCCCGAAGGTTTTCACCAACTGGCGTCATTTCGTCTTTCCGATTCCAGCAAGGAATATGTTTGCTTTTTCTTCAGTCAACTCTGTGATATGTCTGAAGAATGCATTTACTGTAGACGAAGTTAGACATCTATTTCCAAGGTCGATGAGGTCATAGCCGTGTTACTAGGTGACATTTATCGCCACGATATGACTACGATCAATAAACTGTGTTCAAAGTATCGTTTAATGAATAATACTGTATCACTGTCTTCTCAGCCGAAAAAGCCAATTGGGATGGTACTGCACACCACTACAAAATGCATGAAATCAATTGAGGTTAGCTTGTTCTGAAAGCTATTTTG